AGGAGAATATTGGAGTAGAAGATAAGAGAATTCTCTAACCCTCAGGGGGCAAATCTTATATTGCTCCCTACACTAACTTTATGCTATTTTTAGGAGCAAGAATGGAATCATTAACGTAGCATAGAGCTCCTATTCCATCTACTTCATCTCAAGCCATGTTTCCCTCTGCTGTCTGTGCTTTGGCCTCATTTACCATATCTCATGCTTCTTTCTACCCCTTGCCTTTTCCGCCTTCCCGTGTACCATTTCCTATCCTTCTTCTCTCATTACTGCCTTCAGAGCTCAGTTCAAACCCCATTTCCTCAAGGAATCTTTCCCTGATACCCCATTTTCTCCTCTGTTGTGCTTTTCACAGCTTTAATTAAAATACGAATTAGGCAGTTAATTGCTCAATGTCCCAGTCCTCTGCTAGAAGGAAATCCCCATGAAGTCCAGTACCTGCCTGTTCCATTCACAATGGACTCCCCTGCATAGTTCGTGGGGCATGGAGGTTGCTCAGTAAATATGTGCTCACTGATTGAATGATAGTGGATCACCCGGCGTGGTGCTCATATTCCATTTCTAGAATAAGTGCTTCAAGTCTCTGCACTCTGATCACGAGCTCAGCCACAGAATGCCCCAACCATATGTGTTGTCCAACTGCCGACCTCATCTGTAGTGATGTGCTTTGTATCTTCCCTCCACGCATATTTACATAAGACGTTGTGCACCGGATTCTCTTAAGGCCACTAAACTGAATAAAATTTGAGCTGCTGACTGATTTTTCTTCAGTTCTCACCTAGTTTCTCACCTTTGGGATCCAGCTGGCTGATCTCCCAGGGGCAGATCCTGTCACTTTGGAGGACGCTGAAAGTCACTGCCAGAGGCTGAGACCATAATCTTGAACTTAGCAGAGCAATTTTGGGGAGCTAAAAACTTAGAAGCAGTGATCTCATTTTTGCATCTTTTCTTGTATTTGATTTTAAAATAAGGAAAACTAGGTGTTAGCTAGATGGAACCGTCCACTTACCTTTCAGGTTTCTTTGAAATAGAAGGACCTGTGCACCATTACTCCCCTTCCCAAGAATGTCCTCACCAGCCCTCAGGTAGGCTTTTTAATGTCAGAAATACTGAGAAATATCAAAGCCATATTATCACGTATCAAAGTTTTTTCCAGTGAAAGGAAAAAAGACATTTAACAGGCTTTTTGATTAAATCAGATTGAAAACATGTTAAATAGGAGGGAGGGACATATAATAGAAGGTGTGAATCTATAGGCCTCCTCTAAATATTTCAAAGAGCTACTGAAAGGTTTTTGAAACACTCTTCAAAAAAAAAAAAGATATAAACCCATTATTAGGGAAGAATTTGAGAAGTTAGCATACAAGTAAAAGAGGGTTACATGGTATGGCAATTGAAATAGCTGGGTTTGAATCCTGAGTCTACAACTTATCTGTGAGATGCTTTGGGTCCTAATATCTAGGAGAATGGTACCTATTTCATACATTTGTTTTGAGGATTAAAGGATAATATATGTACACCTTTCATGTATAATTAATAAAATTAGCATAAGTATTTAAGAGTACTAAAAATAGCTAAGTGGTCCTCACATGGGACTAATAAGCAGATCATTGGAATGAGAGAAGTGAAGCCCAAGATAAGTTGTTTGATTTTAAGACAGTGTCAACCATTTTAAATGAGTTAAACTTGACCTCTTCAAGCCAACTGTTAACCAAAATAAAGAGACATATTGATAATAATACGTTAATAATAGGAGACCTGAACACTCCACTCTTAGCAGTAGACAGATCATCTAAGCAGAAAATCAACGAAGAAACAAGAGCTTTGAATGACATACTGGACCAGATGGACCTCATAGATATATACAGAACATTCCACTCTAAAACAACAGAATACTCATTCTTCTCGAGCGAACATGGAACTTTCTCTAGAATAGACCACATACTGGGTCACAAATCAGGTCTCAACCGATACTGAAAGATTGAGATTATTCCCTGCATATTCTCAGACCACAATACTTTGAAACTCAATCACAAGAAAAAATTTGGAAGAAATTCAAACACTTGGAAGCTAAAAGACCATCCTGCTTAAGAATGTTTGGGTCATCACTGATATGAGGAATTCTTAATCTCAGGAAACAAACTGAGGGTTGCTGGAGTGGGGGGTGGGTGGGAGGGATGGGGTGACTGGGTGATAGACACTGGGGAGGGTATGTGCTCTGGTAAGCACGGTGAATTGTACAAGACTGTTGAATCTCAGATCTGTACCTCTGAAACAAATAATGCAATATATGTTAAGAAAGAAAAAAAAGAAGAAGATAGCAGGAGGGGAAGAATGAAGGGGGAGAAATCGGAGGGGTAGACGAACCATGAGAGACGATGGACTCTGAAAAACAAACTGAGGGTTCTAGAGGGGGGGGGGTGGGAGGATGGGTTAGCCTGGTGATGGGTATTAAAGAGGGCACGTTCTGCATGGAGCACTGTGTGTTATGCACAAACAATGAATCATGGAACACTACATCAAAAACTAATGATGTATGGTGATTAACATAACAATAAAAAATTAAAAAAATAAAAGAATGTTTGGGTCAACTAGGAAATCAAAGAGGAACTTAAACAATTCATGGAAACCAATGAGAATGAAAACACATCTGTCCAAAACCTATGGGATACTGCAAAGGCGGTCCTAAGGGGGAAATACATAGCCATCCAAGCCTCACTTAAAAAAAAAAAAAAAAGAAAAAGAAAAATCCTGAATTTACCAACTAACAGTACACCTTAAAGAACTGGAGAAAAAACAACAAATGATGCCTAAGCCACGCACGAGAAGAGAAATAATTAAGATTAGAGCAGAGATCAATGAATTAGAAACCAGAAATACAGTAGAGCAGATCAATGAAGCTAGATGCTGGTTCTTTGAAAGAATAAGATTGATAAACCACTGACCAGACTTACCCAAAAGAAAAGAGAAAGGACCCAAATTAATAAAATTATGAATGAAAGGGGAGAGATCACGACTAGCACCAAAGAAATAGAAACAATTATCAGAAATTATTATCAACAACTATATGCCAATAAATTAAGCAACCTGGAAGAAATGGATGACTTCCTGGAAACCTATAAACTGCCAAGACTGAAACAGGAAGAAATTGACAACCTGAATAGGCCAATAACCAATAACGAGATTGAAGCAGTGATCAAAAACCTCCCAAAAAACAAGAGTCCAGTACCTGATGGATTCCCTGGGGAATTCTACCAAACATTCAAAGAAGAAATAATACCTATTCTACTGAAGCTGTTTCAAAAAATAGAAATGGAAGGAAAACTTTCAGACTCGTTCTATGAGGCCAGCATTACCTTGATCCCCAAACCAGGCAAAGACCCCATCAAAAAGGAAAACTTCAGACCAATATCCCTGATGAATATGGATGCCGAAATTCTCAACAAAATCCTAGCTAATAGAATCCAACAGTACATTAAAAGGATTATCCATTATGACCAGGTGCGATTTATCCCTGGGATACAAGGATGGTTCAACATTCACAGATCAATCAATGTGATAGAACACATTAATAAGAGGAGGGAGAAGAACCATATGGTCCTCTCAATTGATGCAGAAAAAGCATTTGACAAAATATAGCATCCTTTCCTGATTAAAACTCTTCAGAGTGTAGGGATAGAGGGAACAGTCCTCAATTTCGTAAAAGCCATCTATGAAAAGCCCACATCGAGTATCATTCTCAGTGGGGAAAAGCTGAGAGCCTTTCCCTTAAGGTCAGGAACACAACAAGGATGCCCACTGTCACCACTATTGTTTGACCACTTCAAATAGTTTATAATGCAGTGTACTGGAAGATCCCCAAATATGATCTCTGAGCCATTGTTCTTTTTTTATAATTAGATATTTATTTGTGAGATTCTTTCTCTTTCCTTCTTTCTGAGATATAATTGACATATAACAGAGTGTATGTTTAAGGTGTATAAATGTGTTGATTTAGTACACATATAGTGCAGAGTTATATCACAGAATTACCTTTTTTTGTGGTGAGAACATTTAAGTTCTACTCTTCTAGCATCTTTCAAGTATACAGTACAGGATTGTTAGCCATAATCAACATGCAGTACATTAGATTCCCAGACCTTATTCATCTTAGTTTATAGTTTATACTCAGTCATCATTCTTAAGAAGTTAAGAGATAAATGGGGGTGCTAAGATTGTAGGATGGAAAGTATCTCATTTACAAAAAGAGGAATGGAGGGATTTCAGAACTCTAGATAAGTCCCGTCTTAACAAAATAATGATGCTGTTAGTTTGTGATAATTGAAAAAAGGAGGGTTGATCAGGGAATTCCTGAGACCATATTTAAGAGGCACTAATGGCGATGTGATCTAGGAGATGGAAATCATGAACTCTTAGATGTTACAGTTAGAAAGACTGAACATTTGGAAGGAGGACTGTGTTAAGTTGGGTAATGGTAGCTTGTGGAGAAAAGGAACGAAAATTTCAGTTGATGAATACAAAAGAAGTTTATCAGTTGTGTAAATAGTAGAATATGTGACCTTCCTGGTCAGTGGGTGGCTTTCTTCCTTGTGGTGCCCATCTCCTTCCATTTCATGTCTCCATTATTCCCCTGGGTCTTAGTGTCCTCCACATCCAGCAGGCAGAAGAGTAAAATAGTGGAGAGGGCACACCTGCTTCTTAAGAACCCCAGCTAGAGGTGAAAATACTTGCAAATCATTTATCTGATAAGGGATTAATTTCCAGAATATATAAAGAATGCCTACAACTCAACAACAGATCCCCAAACAACCTAATTCAAAAATGGGCAAAGGACTTGAATAGACCTTTCTCAAAAGAAGACCTACAAGTAGCCAGTAAGCACACGAAAAGATGCACAATATTATTTGTTATTAGGGAAATTCAAATCAAAACCATAATGAGATACTACTTCACACCTATTAGGATGATAATTAGTTGTGTTTTTGTTTTTTTTTAAAAAGGGAAATGTTGATAAGAATATGGAGAAATCGGAACCCTCATGCATTGCTGATGGCAATGTAAAACGGTGCAGCTGCTGTGGAAAACAGCCTGGTGATTCCTCAAAAAGTTAAACACAGAATTATCACATGATCTAGCAATCCTGCTCTGAGGTGTATGCCCCAAAGAATTGAAAACAAGGACTCAAGCAGATACTTAAACACAAATGTTCATTGCAGCATTATTCACAACAGCCAAAGGGTAGAAACTACCCATGTGCTCATCAACAGATGAATGGATGACAAAATGTGGTGTATACAACAAAATATATGTACATTGGAATATTATTCAGTCATAAAAAGGAATAAAAATCTGATATATACGACAACATGGATGAACTTTGTGAACATTACCCCAAATGAAAGAAGCCAGACGCAAAAGGACAAATAATAATATTATTTCACTTACGTGAGGCACCTAGAATAGACAAATTCATAGAGTCAGTAGAATAGCAGTTCCCAGGGCCTGGGAGGAGGGGAATGGGGAGTTACTGTTTAATGGGTCCGAAATCTGTCTGGGATGATGAAAATGGTCTGGATACAGTGGCATCGGTTACCCAACATTGTGAATGTATTTAATGCCACTGAATTGAACACTTTGGGGTTAAAATGGCAAATTTTATGTTACGTATATTTTACCACAACTGAGAAAGAAACCCAGCTGGGAAGGACACACGCCCCTTGGCTCACAGTCCCTGGCAAGAACTGGTACCACGGACACGTCAGGTCGCAGAGAGTTTGGGTGGCGGCGTACCAGACTGAGCAGCCACTTCTCAGTGATGATCACACAGTTTGGAAAGAAGAGCATGAACATCACAAGAGATCAAGTTTTAAACGGTTTTTTACTATATGTGTATTTTGCGAGATGGCAAATCCAGTTTAGAAGCAACTTCTTGAAACTGTAGGATCGAAAGATCCTGAAAATTTCTTATCAAATATGAACCAAGTAACAGAAATATTAAAGTTCCCAGTTTACTAATTTTAGTGTAGGAAATGTTTAAAATGAATAAAATGTTTCTTATATTAGTGTGTGTCCTGTGTCCTATTAAGGCATTCATGAATTTACTTTGCTTCTCCTGTCCCTGTTTTCTGTACATGTTCATATATACTTTAAACTCAAATTCTTTACCACCGTCCATTTCAGGAGGGTCACACTTGATGACATCCCAGCCTTGGGGCTTCAGATGTCTCCTCGGTGTGAGGAAGAATGTTGAGTTTACTTCTGGGTGAAACATTAAAGAAACATTGCAGATAAAATGAGAGGCTGCTTAGCATAAGGCATCCATGATGGTGAGGCAGTTCTGGAATGGAATGGATGGAAGCCATTTGTCGTCATAAGGAGTGGCAGAAGATGCTAGGCTGTTGGCTTGTAGGCCAGATGAGCTCCCAGTGTGGTCTTCAGATCGGTGTCCACCTCTGCTGTGAAACTTGAGGAGGTTCATGCCTCGAGTTGCTCCAAAAGGCAGGACCTCAAGCCCTAGTGAAGTTTCCAGGGCAGCCACATCCTGTTCAACATAAGACAGATCTTTCCAGCAATTTGAAAACTGAAGTGTGGAGAGGTCAGACTTTGGGCGAAGTGAGTGCCGCAAGTCTGGAAGGGAGACCAGATGGAGAAGCAATTCTGGGACTAGTGGGAAGCTGGCTTATGGCAGCTAGAGCTTAAGTGCTCGAGATTCTGTGATTCTCTCCTATACTTGCCAATGTTTGCAAACATTCCTGCAGTCTCCAAGATGAAAAGCAGAGGAGGAGTTAATGTAATGAAAGGAAGCGATTAAGATGTAAATTGTTTTCTCCCTAAGTGCTTTCACAATGTGCTGAAACATACATTCACTTTTATTCCCTTCTGTCTAGGCTGCAAACACTCAGAAACTAAAGATGGAAATGTGGAATCAAGCAGGTTATCCCCATATAAAGAGAGACCGCAAACATCTGGCTCTTTCCTTTTTTCCTTTAAAGGATATAATCAGTGTTGCACGGTGTCTCTAATGCCTGCTCTTTTACATCCTTAGTTTCTGAGGAAGAAAAATCTAACGTGGGGCAACAATTAGAGCAGCACTGCGCTGGCATATTCCGCAAACAGTAGGCCATTTAAACTGAGGACAGTTATTAATGGGATTAGAACAGTAATAAAACTTTATAGAGGAGTTTAATAACTCATTTACAGACCATGAAACAAAGCTAATAGTCAGCCTTCATGGGTGAAGTGTTCTATTTGTCCTATGGTCCACTGCTTTGACTTTTAGTCAAATGTCAAGAGATTACTTAGATTTCAAACATCAGTATGTGCATCTTATTGTTAAAGCAGGTAGAATTTGGCACGCTTAAAAAATGAGTCCCCAGAGAGCAATGATCTAGCATTAACATTTTTAATAAAATGTAAGGTATATGCTCTGTCCATCTACAGATATATAAATGAGGGACTGGCAAACAATAAAATGATCTTCTGTCTATATAAGCACCAAACTTCGGATTTAATCTAGTCTTTTTCTCTAGGTGTCTCTTGGACATTAGCTATAAATGGCTGAATAAATAAGTCCATTTATCTCCCATTATGTTAACAACTTCTACCCTTCTGGAGTCTGTCTGGGCATTATAGTTTGTCCTTATCTCCTAACTAACAGCTGTCTTTCACTGCCCCATGCCCAGGAAATCTCCTTTCCTTTGGAGACGGTTATCTGATTTGGATTTTGTTGCCTTCCATTTCACTCAATAACCTTTTTTTGAATCACAGTGTCTAGAGAGTTGGGATATTCCTAAAAGTCACTTATTCAAACCCCTCATTGTGCAAATGACGAATGCGAGACCAACAAGGTGCAGAAACTTGCCTTGGGGATGGAAGCCCCCTTGGGAAAGTAGCTAGGATGACCCCATCATTCAGAGGTTCTAAACTCAAGCCCCCTTCACTCCCTAGCCTCCAGCAAGGGCTGGCTCACCTCTGTCTCCAGAACACCAAGTATTTGAGGCAAGGTTCTTGATATCAGCCATTCGGTATTCTTTTCTGCTGTCCTTTGGAACCAACATTTTGCTTTAGTTCTGTTTGCTGTCAGTGAAATGGACTGGAACAATGCCCTCTGTCTTTGAGGCTAATATTACTGATGATTTGAGGTTCCTCCTTTATAGACACGGTTCAGCATCTTCTCCCTTGATGTCCCTAGTGACCAGTGGCATGCATTTTCTTTCTTTTTGAGACATGGCCAGTGTTTAGAAAAGGCATCTCTGCCTAGAGAATAAAGACACGCATTCTTTAATCCTGGGTTTCCACCAACTACGCTCTGCTGCTGGAAATGGATTCACTCTAGCGCTCTGACAATAAAGACAAAAGAAAGGATAATTGTTTGGGCATGGGTCTATTTTATGAAATTGAAAAAGTAAACAGATTGGTGGCATGACCATTCATTCAATGCTCAGTCCTCCTAATCATATCTTGACAGAATGGCCAGTCCAAAGGATTTTACTAAGATAGCCTAATCAGGTATTTGATATTGGATAAAGGGATGTTCATTTAGATTTTTCTGGTACATCAGGCACATCATTTTTGCTCAATAAATATTTATTGAATGAATGAATGAACAAATGAACTTGAAAAATTACGGTAAAGATAATCGCATATGGTATTTGCTTGTGAGTCCATCAGATGAGGAGAGAGCAGTTCCAATAATAATAATAATAATAATAATAATAATAATAATAGCAACAACAATAGTAATAAGAAGTGGGATCCCAAATGGCATTTGTTTTTCAAAGACACAGCCAGCTAGCATTGAACACTGTTAATGGGGTTTGCTTCTGAGTCTGGTTCTCTACCAGGCAAGGTGGATATCTCTTAAGGAAAACCAGCCCCCCAAATCCAGAGAGCCCACAGAAGAGGCTGTCAGAAAGGCAGCATGGAAATAGAAACCTGGTTTTGACCTTGTGGGTTATTTTACTTTAAAGGTGACGTGTCTGAGATACGTTGTTTATGATGTTGTAGACTCATATATTGCTGAGGAGCAAAAATGTGTGTATGTATAAATGAAAATCTTTCACAAGCCCCATCTCAACTGCATTAGCAAAACCCAAATTAAAAAAAAAAAAACTTTTCTCCCAAACATGAACTGTCCAGTTAAATGTGTCTAATTCTTTCCTGGTTGAAGATAGCCTGATTGCAAGTCTATTTATAGTCTGTTCAAAATCCATCTCTCTCTCCTCCCTAAAGCAGAGACTGGATCTATAGCAGTGCTTTGTGTGTCCTTGTGGGGGCAGGGGGAAGGCAGGGGCTCTGTGGCTACCCTTATGATGAGATGCAAATGAAATAAATTTTTTTTAACTAATTTTATTTATTTTAATGGTATGAAATACCTTTTAGTTTTTAACCAAATATGTTTCATTATTCTTGAAAATAAGATTTAGCATTTTATGAGAGAGCAGTTTGCAGATTTGGTTTGGTTTATTTTTTCTTAATTAGTAGACTTTTTTTTAAAGAGCAGTTTTAGGGGTGCCTGTGTGGCGAGTCGGTTAAGCATCAGACTCTTGGTTTCGGCTCAGGTCATGATCTCAGAGTCCTGAGATCAAGCTCCACATTGGGCTCTGTGCTCAGCGCAGAGTCTGCTTGAGAGTTTCTTTCCCTCTCCCTCTGCTCCTCGCATTCATGCTTTCTCACTCTCTCTCTCTCCAATAAGTAAATAAATCTTAAAAAAAAAAAAAGCTGTTTAGGTTTTACAGAGAAGTTGAATAGAAAGTACAGAGAGATCCCCTTCCTCCAACCCCCGGCACAGATTCCCCTCTTGTAAAACACTAATGTTAATACTTGTTATAATTGGTGAACCAGTATTGATACATTATTAATTATATAGATTCATAGTTTACTTTAGGGTTCACTCTTTGTAATGTATAATTCAATGGATTTTGCTAAGTGCATGTTGTCTTGTCTCCACCATTGCAGTATCATATAGAATGGTTCCACTGCCCTAAAAATCTCCTGTGTTCCATGTATTATTCATCCTTCTCTCTGTCCCACTCCAACCCCCGATCTTTTTTAATGTCTCTATAGTTTTACCTTTCCTAGATGTCCTATATTTGGAATCATACAGTATGTACCCTTTTCATACTGGCTTCTTTCACCCACAATATGGATTTAAGACATTTCTCTATGTCTTTTTGTGGCTTGATAGCTCATTTCTTTTTATTGCTGAATAATATTCCATTGTATTTGCCATATATATTCCATCGGATTATCACAGTTTGTGTATCCACTTGAAAGACATCTTGGTTGCTTTCAAGTTTTAGCAATTATGAATAAAGCTGCTGTAAACATCTGTGTGCAGATTCCTGTGTGGACTTAAGTTTTTCGGCTCATATGAGTTAATACCAAAGGGCACAGTCACTGCACTGTATGGCAATCCTACGTTTAGTTTTATAAGAAAGCACCAACTGTCTTCCAAGGTTGCTGTGCCATTTTGCATTCCCCCCCAGCAGTGAACGAAGAGTTCGTGTTTCTCCTCATCCTCACCAGCATTTGGTTGTCAGTGTTTTGAATTCCCACCATTCTAGTAAGTTTATGGTGGTAATTTGTTTAATTTGCAGTTCCCTAACACCATGTGATGTGGGGCATCTTTCATATGCTTATTTGCCATCTGTGTATCTTCTTTGAGGAAGTATGTGTTCAGGTCTTTTGCCCGGTTTTTTAATTGGATTGTTTGTTTTCTTATTGTTGAGCTTTAAGGATTCTTTGTATATTTTGGCTGTAGGTCCTTTTTCAGATATGTGTTTTGTAAATATTTGTTCCCACTCTGTGGCCTGTTTTTTTTTTTTTTTAAAGATTTTATTTATTTATTTATTTGACAGAGACAAAGCGAGAGAAGGAACACAAGCAGGGGGAATGGGAGAGGGAGAAGCAGGTCCCCCGCTGAGCAGGGAGCCCAATGTGGGGCTTGATCCCAGGACCCTGGGATCATGACCTGAGCCGAAGGCAGATGCTTAACGACTGAGCCACCCAGGCGCCCCTGTGGCCTGTCTT